AGCTTAGCCAGAAGGTTCTGTCTCTCACATATTCTGCTTGGGGGTGGCTGCAGGACAGGGAGGGATCTGGTGGGGAAGCTCTTCTGGGGGTAGGAGGCAGGCAGAATAGCAAGTTCAGGGCACAGGCTTTGAGGTCATCTGTTTTGAATCTCAGCTCCACCTTGGGCGGTGATGATAGTACCTGTCTCATGAGGTTGCCTTATTAGCAATGCGTGTAAACCATCAAGTTGCTTGGCCCATAGCCTGCACTGAAGAAATGGTTGGTACTGAATTGTTAATAAGACAATTATAAGGGAGGTTGGGGATGAGTGGAAAGCCTTTCTTTTGGGTACCTTGGCAAAAAGAGTCTCATCCTGGGCTGCGCTCAATGCTGGTCGACAGGACAGTGTGGGCTGTGGCCAGGCTCATGCTGCTTTCTCCTTCCCTGGCTCTAGCTGGCTCCAGCGTGATGTCCTGTGTCTCCTGCTTCTTCCTGTCTTTTGGGAACAGCGAGTCAGCCATGATCGCTCTGCTCTGCCTTTTTGGGGGGGTCAGCATTGCATCCTGGAACGCGCTGGACGTGTTGACTGTTGAACTCTACCCCTCGGACAAGAGGTAGTTGGAGTGTGGTAGGGGCAGGGCAGCAGGTTTAGTGCTCAGAGGACAGGACAGAAATGGGGTGAGGAAGGGGGCTGATTGGGAAAGGCATCTTTAGGGGTAAAAGGGTACATAGTCCCCTTGAGTTTCTCCTCTACAAGTTGGTAGCTTTTATATTCACTCCTTGAAGTCTTAACTATTAACCTAATTTTTTGGTGTCCTTTCCCCCTTGCCTCCCAATTTATCTGTATTCCCTGATGTGCATCCCTCACCTCTCTAATCTCTCCATCTTTCCTCTCCCTCTTGGACACTGCCTGCCCTCTCTCCTTGACTTTCCTACCTACCCACCCTTCCCCCACAAACCCTCCCATGCCTCTTCCCTTTGTCTCCTTCCTGGGCCGGGCCCCTGAATCCTGCGTGCTGCGCTGGGGGACTCCTGAGCAGGACCACAGCCTTCGGCTTCCTGAATGCTCTGTGTAAGCTGGCAGCTGTGCTGGGGATCAGCATCTTCACATCCTTTGTGGGAATCACCAAGGCCGCCCCCATCCTCTTTGCCTCAGCTGCTCTTGCCCTTGGCAGTTCTCTGGCCCTGAAGCTGCCCGAGACGCGGGGGCAGGTGCTGCAGTGAGAGTCTCTGGGGCTTCGGGGGTGGCAGGCACACTGTGAGACCAACAATTCCTTCTTCCCCTTCCCTGCCCTGCCATCCTGGCCACAAAGAGCCCTCATTCCCCGCTCCCGTTTGGTGTCTTAGCCGTGTGTGCGTGTGTATGTGTGTGCACGTGCGTGACCCCATGGGCAGGGACTACAGGGAAGGCTCCTCCATCCCAGGTTTGGGGTGCAGCCCTGTCCCCCACCTCCTCCCACCCGTGACTTTGCCCAAGAGAAGGCTTGGCCCCACACTTCTCCCCAGTGTTAGTGAGAGGCCCTTGCACTTCCCGGCCCCTGGGACTCTAGAACAGGCTTCCTGCCTTCCCCCTCATTCCCTCTGCCTGGGCCCTGGTGAAAGGACAGGCGTGTGGCTATGCCGGCGGCGGGGGCCTAGTGTACACCACGGACCAAAAGAACTTAGAGTCGTAAGGGCGTAAAGTGCCCTCTCACGCCTCCTGTTGGATGCTGGGGGAGTAGCAATAAACCTCAGCCCCCTGGCCTCCATTTCCTTCTCAATTTGGGCTACAAGTAAGAAGCCTGAATTTTATGAAATTAGCTGATTCTTATTTATTTATATATTAAGTTCTGAGGCAGCTCAGCAGGACTGTGTGAGTGCTTGTGTACATTTATGTGTGCGTGTGTGCGTGCTGTGAGGTGGGGGTTTCGTTATACTGTCCTCAGATACAAGCCAAGGGTAACTTCAGTGGACACACACACAACCCTTCCTCCCACAGTACCTCCCCTAATCTTGTTTCTGTGCCGGGCCTGGGTGGGAGGAGCCCTAGGCCAGGCTGGGATAAGAATCCCACAGTCTAGGGAGACCTGAGGGCATCTGACAAGGTCCATCTCCTCCCCTCCTCTCAAGAAGCACAGGCCTCCTCTGGAATGAGAGGCTCTACCCACTATAGCACAGACAGGCACAGCACAGCAGCCCTCCCACCTCCAACCTGTCCCCTCACAGGCAGGGGAGCGGTGGAGGGAAAGAAACCAGTCATATGGTCCAACCAGCAGATCAAAAGCACAAGGAGCTGGGGCGGGGCAGGAACTGGGGCCTTCCCAGCAACTCCTGTAAAGTGGGAAGAGTTTAGGCAGTAGGCCAGGGATTCCTAATGCAGGGACCGGAAGCCTCAGTCTCCCCGTCTCACCCTTTCCACAGGACAGCCCCTGTAGGTTAAGCTGCCCCTGCCCCACCCTACTCTGTGTGGCTGCTTTCTTTGGTGCCCCCTTTCCCCCACCATAGCGGTGATGTGTCGTAGTTTTTAGCTGTTTGTAAATGTTAAAAAAAAGTTAAAAGGAAAAAAGTGAAAACAACAATAAAAAAAAATCCAAATTCACCCTCCTCATGCCGCGTCTGGTGCCCCCCACCCTATGGTCACTCCCATTTTGTAACACTGAACCAGGTGGTGACTGTTTAACTCTTTGATGTCTGTGCTCAAAGGACTGCCTTCTCCAGTGCCCAGTGTACGAGTGTGTGCCCTCTTCCCTCACCCTTCACTTACTGGACGCGGCCCTCCCCCTGGAGGGACCCATCCATCTCCCTTACTTTCCTGGGGAACCCTAAACCCAACTCTGTTGATGTAAAAAATGAAAATATTGATGAAAAATAAAAAGGAAACAAATCCTTAAAATCTATGTCTGCTTCTTTGCCTCTACCTACGTCCAACTCTGATACAGTCCTGGGAGGGGAAGACGTGAGATGGAAAAACAACTCCTCTCTCTCTAAACTGAAGGCCAGAATAACATGATGCATCACATTTACTTCCTGAGTTGGCCTCTCTATCCTGACCTTTCCACTTCTACAGATGGAGCATCCCCTCAGTCTCCTAGATTTGAAAACCTGGGGTAATGTCCTACAACTCAATAGCAAAAAAACTAATAACCTAATTAAAAAATGGGCTAAGGACTTGAATAGCCATTTTCCTAAATAAGACATAAAATGACCAATAGGTATATATAAAAAAATGCTCAATGTCACTAATCGTCAGGGAAGTGCAAATCAAAACCATAATGAGATACCAACTCATACCTCTCAGGATAGCTATTATATAAAGTGTTGGCAAAGATGTGGAGAAACTGGAACCCCTGTACATTGTTGGTGGGAATTCAAAATGATACAGCCACTCTGGAAAATATGGAAGTTCCTCAAAAAATTAAAAATAGAACTACCATATGATCCAGCAATCCCACTTCTGGGTATTTATCCAAAAGAATTGAAATCAGGATCTTGGAGAGGTATTATTAGCACTCTCAGGTTCATTGCAGAATATCACAATGGCTAAGATGTGGAAACAACCTAAACGTCCATTGACAAATGAATGGATAAAGAAAATATAGTATGTACATAACAAGGGAATACTTGCCAGCCTTAAAAAAGAAGGAAATTCTGCTATGATAAACCATGAGGACATTATGCTAAGTGAAATAAGCCAGTCACAGAAAGACAAATATGCATGATTCCACTTTATCTAAAATAGTCAAATAGAATCAGAGTGGAATGTTGGTTACTAGGGGCTGGGGGAGAAGGGAATGGGGAGTTGCCAATCAACAGGCATAAAACTTCAGTTAAGCAAGATGATTAAGCTCTAGAGATCTGCTGTGTGACATTGTACCTATAGTCAGTGATAATGTATTGATTGTACACTTTAAAAAAATTGTTAAGAGGACAGATCTCGAGTTTTTGCCATAATAAAATAATATTTACAAAAACATTAAAAAAAACCTAAAAACTCCAAAAATGAAAACAAAAACTTGGAGTAATATTTCTTGAGAATAGAACCAACTTTCCTCCAAATCCTTGTGTGTTTTTTAAAAATGTAGATTCCAGATTCCATTCCTGACTTGTGGAATCAGAATCTTTTTTTGGAAGAGTTGACCTAGAATCCACATTTTAAACAAGCTCCCGTAGGAATTTTTATCTGTGAGGAAATCTGAAAAGTACTGCCTGAGGTTTACCATTGATGCTCCTCTCACTCTAGTCCATTTCTGTTCTAATCAAGCTGTTTTCTGACTTTTTAAAAATGGTAGCTCTCAAATCAACTCCTTCCTTTCCATTTCAACAGCTGACCTCTAGGTCCGGGTTCTGCCTTCACCTTTGGTTAATCTCTGTGCCTCCTATTTCCTATGCCAACCCACTTACACATCACTGCCAGATCAATCTGCCTCAAAATGCTCTTTGGCATCCTTTCCTCAACACCCTTCAATGACTCCCTACTGCCCAACCAGATGCAGTCTAAACTCTTTAGCCAGAAATGGTTGATACATGTTAACCAAGCTTTCTCTTTACTGTCTAAGTTCCATCTCCACATTGAGATCTTCAGAAAGTTGTTTATCTAGACATTACTTGAGCTTCCCTCAGAATTATGACATTTGGAAGGCTCATAAGAAAAGGGGCTATGTAAAGTTTTCTCCCCCTTCTATACTCATTTCCCAGATTATAATCTTTTCACTGCTTCAGTGTTTTGGGGTTTTTTTTAAGTTTTTTTTTCTCACAAACAAATGCATATCCTCTTGGAAATGGACAGGTTAATAGAAAGCCAAACATTCCCCAAGTCTGAAGTTCAAATGTGTCTGTAACTGCTGTCTTGTCCAATAACTCTCTGCCCAGTCCAGCTTCTATGCCTTTGCTTGGGCTCTTCCCCCTGCCTGCAACAACTTTCCTTTCCTTTCTGGTTTAATGAAGCCCTTCCTGACTATGCTAGGCTTCAAGTATCTTTCTTCTTCCAAGAACATCTGTAGCACTGGTTCAACAGGCCTTTAACAACACAGCAATTCACCTCATATGATAAATTTCTCTTTTAATGTACAGGATTACTCGCAACTCATAAGGTCTGGTGGTTCCTTAGTCACAATTTAACACGAAACAACTGGGCAGCTTTTCCTTAATAGTCCAGGGCAAGAGCAGTAGTGAGTGATTGTATGCTTTCCTTAGGTTGACCTTGATGTCAAATGAATTGCTGTCTCCAGAGAACCTGTATATGCCGGTTGAATGGGGCCCAGGTCCTCAACTCTTACAAATACCAGACTGTATTGAAGGGAAGAAGGCCCCAGTAGTATATTCTCACCCAACCCGTTTCGATCCCGGTCCTCCCTCTCTCTCAGAGTTCAGGGAGTTCCTCGAGTTTTCTTGCTCCCGCCCAGGCAGGGGGGGCTCGTGTCCAGTTGAGGGCTCTCCCTCCACTGGGCGGGGGTCCGCGCTTGTATGGCCAGGGCGTGGACCGGCCCAGCCAGTTCTTCCGACAGCGCCGCGTGGACCAGCCGATGCCGTTGCAGGGGGCTCAGTCCTTCGAAACGAGAGCTCACCACGGCCACGCGGAAATGGGTTTCACTGCCTGGTGGGACAGCGTGGCCGCCGCTCTCATTACGCAGCTCCAGGACCTCGGGGTTCAGCGCCTGCTCCAACTTTGTGCGAATGGCGGCCTCGACGGGACCGATGGCCCCTGATCTGGCGCTGCCCCTGGACACACAGACGCGGCCAGCCATGGAGAACAGGCTTCCGACCAGCTGCCCACTCAGCATCAGCTACGGCAGAGACAAGGACGGGAGCAGTGAGGGTCAGGGCCTCGCTCTTGGTGAGAGACCAGTCTCTCAACCACCCCAGCCCCCGCCCCCCGGCCAACGTCCACACTGGGAGCCCGCCTAGACGCGACAGTGAGACGCGAGGCACCGCCTCTTTCCTCTGTGTGACGTGGGGGAATCTGGCCTCCCGCCGCGAGCAGCTGAAGGGAGGCGGTAGATTACAGAAAGCCCGCGCGCGAGGCACATTCCTTACTAAGGGGATTCGCAAAGAATGAGCTGGAGGTTGCGACAGTAGGGTATGTGCAACTCCGGGCTTTTGGTTGAGCCAATGTCCCTGTGACCCGTCTGAACCCCAGGCTGGGCCCGTTCTACCTTGCACTCAGTCTTCGCTACCGCCGCTCCCATTCAGGGCCGGACTCCTGCCGTTCCGGGCGAAACGTAGACTTAGCGTCCTGAGGCACGCTGGGAAATGGAGTCCTCGCTACGCGATAGATCGGGCCGGCACCACGTGGCGCCCTGAGGGTTCTCGGGAACTGTAGTCTCTACTTCCCCCGACTCGTGACGTCGTGGGAGGCTCTGAACCTGAGGAATTGTAAAGAAAACCGGAACTTCTGTGCAATTGATATTGAGATTATTCGATTCATTTTATTGACAATACATCTTGTAGATTATCTAGCCCAACAATAAATGAAATGGAAGTCCATTTCATTTATTGAATACATAATTATTGTGCGCCAGACCAGTCCTGGAGGCTGGGGAGGTAAGACAGGCCCTGTCCTCAGGCAGTTTACAGAACACTGGAGAAGATGGACCAGTGAGCAGACAGTTGAAATACTGTGTGCTAAGGGCTGTGATGGGACTAAGAGCAGGATGCTAAGGAGGCATGTCGTCCAGACTTGGGGGAGCAGAGAAAACTTAAGGAAAGTTTACAAGAGGCACAAAAATCCCTTTCTCAGCCCCTCCTAGTGTGGTAGCTGCACGCGCAAAGGCCAGGAGGAAAGAGAACTTTGGGGGAGTGGTTCCTTTGGGTGTAGTTAGATATGGTTGGAGCCCACGGGGCAGAGATGATGGTGATGGGAAGCTGAGTGAATGTATAGGCCGGTGGGGAGAAGGCCTCGTTAGGCAGTTTTGTTTTTATCCTAGGAGCAGTAGGAAGCTAGGGAAGGTTTTCAGTGGGGATATAACAGGATGAGATTTTTCCAAGATGATATATAACTCGTCAATTCAACTAGTATTTTATTTTGTATCCTAATATTTTATAGATTTCTCCATATATGTATTTCCCCAACTTTTAATTTTGAAAAATTTCAAATCTGCAGAAAAGTTGAACAGTGCAAAACAGCATCCTCTACCTTTCACTGTTTTTTACATTTATATATGTTATATACTTATACATATATACTTTTATGTTTAAGTACTTTATGTATACCTATATACTTTAAAAATGTATTTCTATATTTCTTTTGAAAATAAGTTTTAGATAGCATGACATTTCACCCTTAGGTACTCCAGTATGTATCTCCTAAGAACAAGGATATTCTCTTATATAACTACAATACCCTATCACACTAAAAAAATTTAACATAATGTCAATTGCAAGGTTAGTACAATGAGCACCCCATTTATTCTTCACCTATATTTACTGACAACATTTTACCAGATTTGCTTTTTAATCTTTTTTTTTTTTTTTTTTTTTTGCGGTACGCGGGCCTCTCACTGTTGTGGCCTCTCCCGTTGCGGAGCACAGGCTCCGGACGCACAGGCTCAGCGGCCATGGCTCACGGGCCCAGCCACTCCGCGGCACGTGGGATTTTCCCAGACCGGGGCACGAACTCGTGTGCCCTGCATCGGCAGGTGGACTCTCAACCACTGCGCCACCAGGGAAGCCCTAGTCTCTCTTTGAATGTGTGTATATAATAAAAATATTGTTATCACTTTTGCTGAACCACTTGTGAAAATCTTTACATTTCATTGCTATATACTTAAGCGTTTATCTCCTAAGACAAGGATATTTTCCTACATAAGCACAATACCATTACCACGCCTAAGACGTTTAATATTTGTTCAATACTATTATTAATATATAGTTGACATTCAAATTTCCCCAGGTGTCTTGTTACTGCCTTTATAATTTTTTATTTTTCGAAAGCCAATCAAGGATCATGCATTGCATTTAGCAATCTTTAAATTTTTATTTTGCAAAGATCCCTGGCTGCAGTGTGGAGAACTGTAGAGGAGGTAAGAGTGCAAGCAGGGAGACCAGTTGGGAGGTTAGTGTAGCAGTCTAGGTGAGGGATGATGATGACTTGGACCACGCTGGTGGTCATGCAGGTGAAGATGGAAATAAATTGTAGCTATAAGATATACATTGGGAGGGTAAAACCCACAGGATGTGGTAATGGGCTAGTTACAGGAGGGAAAGTATGAAGGATAACTATCAGGTTTGTGCATCTGGATCGATGGCATTTATTCCCTAAGATACAGAATATTGGAAGAAGCACAGGTTTGGAAGGGTGGGGAAGGGAAAGACTAGGTGCCCAATTCTGTTTTGGACTTGAGTCTGAAGTGTCTTTATGATATCGAAGAAGAGATGTCATGTTGGATGTATGGTTCTATGTGTGTGTATTTTATTTTTAACTTTTTCTTAAGTGCTTTCAGAGTTATAGAAATACAAAAATAGTACAAATAATTCTTGTATACCCCTCACCCTGATACCCAGATTATCCAAATATTGACATGTTATCATGTTTGCTTTGTTTCTTTTTATGTATCTAACTACACATATATAATTATTTTTCTGAATCATTTGAGAGTAAGTTTCAGACATAAGTCCATTTACCTCTAACTACCTGTGATGGTTAATTTTATGTGTCAACTTGACTGGGCCACAGGTTGCCCATATATTTGGTCAAACATTATTCTGCGTGTTTCTGTGAGGGTGTTTTTGATGAGATTAACATTAAAATTGGTAGACTGAGTAAAGCAGATTGCCCTCCCTATTGTGGCTGGGTCTCATCCAATCAGTTGAAGGCCTGAATAGAACAAAAAGGCTAACCCTCCTGGAAAAAGAGAGTTCTTTCCTGCCTGACTGCCTTTGAACTGGGACATTGGCTTCTTTCCTGCCTTCAGACTTGAACTGAAACACTGGCTCTTTCTGGGTCTCAAGCCTGTTAGTCTTTGACTGGAACTACAGCATTGCTTCTCTTGGTTCTCAAGCCTTCAGACTTGGACTGGAATTACACCATCAGCTCTCCTGTGTTTCCAGCTTGCTGACTCACCCTGCAGATCTCAGGACTTGTCAGCCTCCATTGTCATGTGAGCCAATTCCTTATAATAAATCTCTCTCTTTTTCTCTCTCTCTCTCTCTCTCTCTCTCTCTCTCACTTGTTTGCTCTTGCCCTCTCCATATATATCCTATTGTTCTATTTCTCTGAAGAGCTCTAATATATATTTGCTAATATGTATTTAGTAAAAAAAAAAAAAAGTAATTGTCAAATTCTGGAAATTAACATTGATACAGTACTACAATCTACAGATCTTACGCAAAAGTTGCCAATTGTCCCATAATGTCCTTTATATAAAATGAAAAAAAAATTCTGGGCGAGTATCCAATCTAGGATCACATGCTGTATTCAGTTGTTATGTCTCTTTGGTCTCCATTAATCTGGAATAGTTCATTAGTCTTTTTGTCTTTCACGACTTTGACATTTTTGAGGAGTACAAACCATTTATTTTGTTAAATATCCCTCAACTTGGGTTTGTCGAATGTTTCACTCTGATTCAGATTTAGGATATACATTTTTGGCAGGAAAACTTCAGAAGTGATATTGAATCCTTTCACTGAAGCATATAGGGGGCATATAATTCAATTTGTCTCATTGTTAATGATAATTCTGATTAATTGATTAAGGTGGTATCTCTCAGGTTTCTCAATTGTAAAATTTTCCTTTTTCCCTTTGTAGTTGTAGGAGATACTTTGAGTCTATGTACTATTCTGTTTTTCCTTAAGCTTTTGTCTTCACATCTGAGAAGCGCATGTGAAGCAAGAGTCTCAGCTGAAGATGAAATGAGATCGTGGGCGGGGGGAAGGCGGGGAAGTGGGTGAGGGGAGTGAAATGACCTGGGAAAAAGAATAAAGTGAGAAAAGAATCAGATTTTCTATTAGAAGATCACTCTGGCTAGTGTATGAGGAATATATTAAGGGAATGGAAGAGTGGAAGCAGGGAGAAGAGGAGAAAAGCCTTTGGCAGTAGTCTGGTGCCAGATAATCTGAGTGAAGGCAGGAGACAGGCTAGAGAGAAGTACATCAACTAGAGTGCTGTTAAAGAGATGGAATCTCTAAGAAGGACTTGTTTTTGGTGACGACCTTGTAATTTGCTAATCCAGTGACAGTGGTGGGGAATGGTGGGAGGCTGTTGGTCAGAGAAGGCCTTGCTGTGGAGGGGACATTTAAACAGAGGTTTGAATGACTAGAGGAAACCAATCATGTGGAAAGAGAGATCTGGCCAGAGGCAATGTATTCACTGCATGTGTTATGCCAGGCTCACTGTTGGCATACTTGGGTGTTTGGTAAAATGTACCGGATGGATAGTGAGCTAGTATGTGAATAGAGAGGGTCGACATTATTATTCCTATTGCAAAAATAAATGAAAGCTTTGTAAGTTGCAAGCTCCCTAGGGCAAGTTTAGTGTCTTTGTTTCTAATAAAAACATAGTCATGACAATATTTACTCTTTAGTGAAGGTTTGTCATGGACAGATTAAGAGTCTTAGAGGCTTTAAGCACTGAGACATTATGGTGGCTGCCTCATGTGTAATTAAAGAAAACAAAACGAAAATTGATAAACACTAATCTGTAATGTGAGGAGTAAGATGCCCAACAAAGTATTCATCTTTTTCCTATGATGATTACTTCAGTATTTGTTCATTAAAAAATTAATTTGGGGGCATCCCTGGTGACGCAGTGGTTGAGAGTCCGCCTGCCGATGCAGGGGACACAGATTCG